TATTATTTAACTTACCTACGAAAGGTAGGTGTGTGTGTGTGTGTGTGTGTGTGTGTGTGTGTGTGTGTGTGTGTGAAGTCATCCTCTTCTTTTTTTGTGAATAGATATCTCTCTGTATGTGTAGAAGACACAGAGCTAGATAAATCATTGTAACTGAGTGACATACGAATCAGAGCGTGCAAAAGGAAAGAAGATACGCGCCTAAGTATGGCACCAACTTTTTTTTTAAAGGATCTGGCTAAAGAACTGCGATAGAGGAAAAAGACTGCCATAAAGTTTGGGGTTGTGTCAGAAACAACTTTCAGTCTCGTGCTTTGCCTGACTCGTCCGCTGGAAGTTGGATCTTAACTAAGCTTTTCCTGTTTCTTTTGCAAAGAAGAAAAGGGGGAAGGGCGGGGAGGGGGGAACAAATACATAAATAAAGAGAGATTAAAAAAGAGTAACTCACTGTTGCAAGAGTTCATCCGCTGCATCCAGGGGTAGACAGGAGTAGAGCACTTCTGGTCATCGCTTTCCCCGAAAACAGTTTTGGTCTGTGCGCAGTCTGACTTCCGCTGATCTGGGGCAAACTGAACATGGTCATCTAGGTTGGAGGTGGCACAGACAGGGTCCTTCTCTCTGTAAAAACCAACTGTCCCATAGTCACAGGCTGTGGTCCGGCTGTAAGCTCCGTTAGCTTGCTGGTAATAAGAAGAGGAGGGATAACCCTTATCTTGGACGCTAGTGGTTCCATAGGTAGCGGGGTAGTGTCTTAAAGGATCCGCATATCCTGAGGCATATAACGGGATTTGTCCCAGGAAGGGCTCCTGCCCAGCAGCCAGGCTCACCGGGAAGGTAGAGTTGACAAAATAAGAACTCATTGGGAGGAGGCAGCCGTCCTTTCCTGGCTTTATGATTTGTTGTGTTTTATAGTCCAAGTGGTTTAGCTATTAGTAGTATATCGGAGATTGGGTTTTAGCTGAAGGGGGATGGCTGGGTGCCAGCGAGGGACACAAGGAAATAGAACCATCTGATCATGGACTGACCAATAGCAAGAGTCTGAGATTACAAAATAGCACCCATGAGGGGCTTGCATTGCACTAGGGACCCCCAGAACAAACCACCCAGCCCCTCTTTTTCCTCCCTTTTAAACAACAAAACTCACCCCCTTCACCAAATACGTATTATCTGCGAAAGATAAATCCCCAAACGTTTGGAGTCTTTAAAACAATAATTAAAAAATACACCAAACACACAGAGAGAGACAGAGAGATAGATCTGTATATAGAGATATACATACACACGGAGGAAAAAAAAGTTAAATCTCTTTATTCTGAAAAGTTTAACCCCTGGTGCCTGTTATTGATTGCAGACCATTTGGGTAATATTGCTATGATTGGTTTTTTTTTTTACATAAAAAAGAAACTTTTAGTTTATTTGTTTTTTTTTTCATTGAGGGGTGGGGTAAATAGATCTCATTTGTTTAATTAGCTTGGGTTTAGGATGGGAAGTGTGTGTGTTGGGGGGAGAAGAGAAGTCAATGTTGGTAACTTATTTCTCATGGTTATCTAATTATCATAGATTGACAGAGAAGAGGCTTCCTTTTAAAGTGTCACTCGCCCGCCTCATCAGATTCTATGCTTCCTATTTATTTTGTGAAAGAGTTACAAATCTATGAGATGAATGGGAATCGAAGTATTACCTTTATCCCGGACTAAATACTTATAGAGATATAGATATATGTACCGAATTGTGCCCTCTTGCGTTTTGTTGTTAATACCAAATCTATGTCCGACCCTTCGCAGTTAAAGGCAGCATTCGGTTACGGTCAAGAAGTGTCTTTATTGATTGTCACTGATCAAGAGTTTTTTTAAAGGCTGTTGTTTGGCGTGTCTATTGCCTATAAGGTGAGCGATGATCCTGCTTTCATATTTTATCACCCTTTCCATTTGTGTCTGGCCCCACTACAAGGTACCTATTTAAAAAATAAAAAAAAAGTTTAAACCTCTTAAGGAGTAAACTCGAAATTCTGAGTAATTTTTTTTTAAACTGGGGCGAAAGACCAAATGAAATGAGTTTGGTCTGGGCTTAGTGGCTCATGTTTCTGCTTTTATTCATTAGCTGTAGGTGTGTTTCACAATGGCTAGTCACCTCCTCTTCAGATTTCTCTACGCGGAAGATCTGGTTGGATTTAAATATTTTGCCATGCATTTTAGCTGTGGGAACGTGTCATGTCCTTCAGAAACTTCCTCTACAATAAAATTGAAAATTGATTGGTTTAAGGTGCATTTCTAAACTCATATCTATCTATCTATCTATCTATCTATCTATCTATCTATCTATCTATCTATCTATTCCCATACACACCTATCTATCTATCTATCTATCTATCTATCTATCTATCTATCTATCTATCTATCTATCTATCATATGCAATGAAATTTATACACCACACAAGGTACACACCTATATGTATGAATACACGTTTGTGTATGCTCCTGGTCTAGAATTACACATAATTACATGGTCGCTGCAGAATTGCCAATGCCTATTTTCCCTGATGGGGGTTAAGTATTTACGAAACTGTTATCTTATTAGGAGCTAATTTATTTTAAACATCATGTTTACAGCAGCAAAGCTAAGACTATTTCATGCCATCACTGCAATGGGCATTCGACTGAACGTAATCTTTATAATTCAAGGAAATAACATGTAAAGGAAGTAGTTTTTCTCCCCTCCTTTCTGACTGAAATCTATTATATTTGTTCTTGCAGAGTTTTCCTTTGTGTATGGAGTGGACCCAAACCTACGCAGATCTGTTTTATTGGCATGGGAACGTGAGATTAAAAGAGAAACTTGACTGTCTATTGGGGGGAGAAAACCTCCATTGAACACAATGAAGTTAGTTGCTTTGCAGGAGGCAAACAGACATTTGATTAGAAAGTTACGCAAAATGTGTATAAGAGTAAAACCAGGAACATCTGGGATGATTTGCACAGCATGCGGAATCTGGGCTATGAAGTATGAATTCCTGATAATTAAATGAGTGAGTAAAATCGCTGAAAACGTTTTCTTTACTTCTTTTTAATGATGATAGTTGCGAAAATGTTCCTCCCGAAGTATGTTTAAAGACTGTTTCCCCAACACATGGTGATGTAGCGTTTTATTGAAACGCAGCTCTATTTAGCATGCTGGTGGCTAAGGCTAACTCGTCCTACCTTTTGGCTGTAGTCCTTTTTATTTTTATTGTGAAAGAAAAAAAATAAAATTCACTAATTGAAACTCGCCTCTTGCTAATTGCTTATTGTTGGTTATTTAGACGGTTATTGAGACTGGAATTATATGCTGTGCCCTGCTAAAGGAAGATAGCGCTTCACTTAATATGTATGGACTTTTAGTGGGAGAAAAATAAAAGACGAAAACTTGGTATAAAACATGCATTAAGCTTTTGTTCCATTTTGGAAAAAATATAGGATCTTAAAGTGTCCATCATCCATATACTGAGACCTGCAGGATGGCATGTTGACCATCTGTAGCAGAGTATTCAGAATGCATTCGATCACAGATAACATTATGTGTTTAGTGTCGAGCCGGTCTCTCATATCATTTTAATAGCTTTTTCAAAAGGTATCTTCATTTTGTTTAAAAAGATGCTTGGGCTATACCCTGAGTTGCTTGCTAAACTTTTAAGATCAATCTATGCCGGGTTTTTGTGGGAAATATTTGGTCTAAGGAGGTTTCCAAAGGGGAGCAGGCATGGGGAGTGGGACACAGAGACCTAAACATAACGGTTGCTGATACAGCTTGCAGTGTCGTCACTGTGTCTTCCACCGTATTTTCTTTGCATATTTTCATTCAGAACTGGGTCTCGGTTTACTTAAGAAGTCTTTGGTTTTATTAAAAAGAAGAGAACCCACTAGTCGGTGGAGTTGCTAGAGACAGCATAAGGAGGTATCAAATGTTTCATTTAGCACTGAGAATCCATCTTTCCCTATTGATTGACATAACTCTACTGGCAGGGTATAAATAAAGATTAAAGGGATTTATTTACTGCATGTACATTCGCAGCTCTCTAGCTTAGAGAGTGCCGGTTGCGCCTTTTTCTCCATTTTTGCTCTTCTGCTAGCAAATGCCAACTCCACAAAGCAGAGAGAGGCAGATAAATGAGGGGATTAAAACAGCACACAGATATTTCGAAATGCAAACAGAACAGAGCATTGCTTGTGTAAAAGCTAAGCTAGTTAAGAACTTTGTGGAAAGTTAAGTGGAGCTGGTTCCAATAAAAAAAAAAAGGGTCGCTTTTTTCGTGTAGAGCTGGAATTCTCAAGCCTTCTGAAGTGACAACAGAGAAGGACCTTCCCAATCAGGGGGCTTATTGCAGCCATAAAGTCAAGCTAACACTAAGACAACATTTGAAAAGCCTTGTTACTGTATTTAGACATATAACGCTATTAACAGCAGAGAAGATTGCTCTTGTAATATACATCCTCACTCAAATTCCTATTAGAAAAGCGGCACAAGGATTCTTTTCTCTACATTGTTGGCATATTTAAAACAATGACCCCTGAAGGTGTTTAAAAAATAATTCTCTCTCCATCCTCACATAACCATTTGAAACTTAATTTCCAGCAATTTAAGTTTAATTTACCTGACTTCCCGTGCAGTGCATAATAACCTCGTTAATGGGATCTTTGAAAAGAAGCAATAATAATCTACCATTGTTCCATTAAAGAGAGCAGCTAATAATTAACAAAAAAAAAAAGTGAGAGGGGGGTTGCGGGAAGGACCTTGGGATTCTAAAAATGTATCTATATTACCTTATTTCCGCTAAAGGAAACCCTGAGAGGGTTTAGGGGAAAGAAATCTTGCTAGGGAAACTAAAAATAGGGGAACAGAAACGGGTGGAAGAGAAATCAAAGCATGAAGCATGTAGGTTGCCTGGAGAATGCTAGTGAGTGTGAGCAGTTACAGAATGGAACAAGTTAATCATGGCTGTTATTAGTCAAAAGGAGAAACTTTTTATTTATTTTAACATAGTCTCTGGGCATCTCACTTTCATATAGGGGAATGTCACTAGTCTAGACATAAACAGTTGCCAGGAAACTGTGTGGTAGTAGGAGAAAACGAGGGAGAGAGAGAGAGAGCTTTTAAAATAACAGGCGTGCATTGTCCTTTCAAAGCCTACTGTATCTTAAAAGGGATTCCTCTCCTCCCCGCCCCAACCACCACCTCAGCTTTGTGCACACCACTAGACCTACCTTTTACAGACCACTGCAAAATGATCATTCGAAACAAGAAACAAACAAACACAGAAATAGTTCATTGACTCTATAATTAGCTCAAAACTCCTGACTTCTTGTCTCCTCGTCTAATTATGGCTCTCATTTCACAAGCTCACTTGCTGTGTTGGCTGTCAAGAAATAACCAGCTTTCTTTCCTCTTTTGGTTTTGTACTACATAATTGATAACTTATCGATAATGAACATATATGACTTGAAATCCTCGGCAACGCAGCAGGCCTCAGAATAGAAATGGATCTGGTCTGAGGTTCCTGTAGCAAATGGGAGGTCACATTTGTTCCATTTCCAGAGATACACAAACGTGCAATGCATTTATAATCCATGACTCGGGAAAAAAATGTAGAAAATGGAATTTGTTAACCAGTTTCAAGGGATATTAATCACCGAGAAATATTTAAGCAAACTGAAGTTTTCTTGCATTGGACGGTAGATGGCAGCAGACAGCATAAAATGGGCTGGAAAGCAATTTATAACAGAAAAGACATAAAGAGAAATAGACCTTCCGTTTTTAAAAATAAACAACTAGGTGATGTTTAAACTACAGGAATTCCTTAATTAGCAACTTATCTATGTTCTAGCGAAAACATTTAGATTTCATAGACAATCAGACATTGAAGGGTGCCCGGGGTAAAGTGATTAAAAAGACTTACTTGGAGTGACATTTATCTCTTGGGTTCTACAAGTGGTTTCTCACACCGCATTTTAAAAAATCAGCAGAAATAGATTCTAGAATTATGTTATTGAAATGAAATAAAATAATCATTTGCCTTTTTTTAAGAACAGCACTAACCACGGATTCTATAACATGTATGGACCTAAAAGAAAAAGCACTTCAGCTGGCGTTTATGTTTTGTCCCCTGTTATGTCTGAACACGTAATAGCTCCTTCAAAAATATCTTTTGAAAATTATTTTTTGTTTGCTATTTCCACCATTGCTAGAATTGACTCTTGGCCGCCCAATATTCAGGAATAGTCAAGCCGGGTGATACAAGTCGCCTTGTCATCTATTCTTAATGGTTAACTCATGGGTGCCTTCCTTAATCAATATCCCTTTACATGCATAAACCTCGCATACAGTGTTATTTGAAAAGCCTCAGAAAACAGTAGCAACGTGTCTTTTTTTAGTCCTGCGATAATGAAAAGGAACATTCAAAATGCCGTGCATCCCCGAAGAAGTATTTTCTTAAAACCAAAGCAACCATTTCGTTTAGAGGAGAAGATATTCAAATAAAAGGATATTTTCACACCACACGGTAGCAAGTGAAGGAAAAGGAAGACATAAATAAACAATAAACGATATGTAGGGACCTACAGCTCCACAAACATGTTACATTTACAGGAGCATTGCAGAACGCAATGAAACCCACCCACCTTCATTCCCTCACAGCGTCCTCTTTCATTTGGGACTTTCACTTTAAAAAATAAATGTAATCATAACGTTGCAGCCCGGTAGTTGCTATTATTCTTATTATGTTTTCTAGTTTCCAGAACCTTATTCTCCAGGACTGCGGTGGACTGCCCTCTTTGAAGAAACCACCCACGTAATAATGACCCCGGAGAGCAAAACAAAACCCAACTGGCTTCCATGCAAACTTCGCCAAATTACTGGGCTCGCCTGAAGATAGGCAAACTGGCAAGATAATTCTGCTCGGGAGGGGTAAAAAATAAAATATATCCGCTGCAACAACCCACATAGGGTTTGGCTATTTTGTTTTTTTTTTTAAAGGCAGTATCTAAAAGACACCGTCATCAAAGTCCATAGCAGCCTTGTTTCCAAGCCAGATATCTACTATATCCAGGTGATCTTACTGTCTTGCTGTCTCTGTTATTCTCTCTTTCTTTCTTTTTGGGGGAGGGGGAGGGAGAGAGGGAGTTTTATAATTGCATTTTCTCAAAGCAAAAAGAAAAAAAAAATCAAATGAAGAGAAACATATATTATTCCCTTACCTTTTGACGTCCATTTCTGTGGTATAAGTTTTTTAAAAGGCAAATAGCGTTTGTTTATCTTTTAGCTGACAAATATTGTCCCAACCTGATCGCCGTCGATTGTCTCTCTGACTTGTGATCGCTTCTTGCATTGCTGTCATTTGCATAGAAAATGGAGTAACTTCCCTCTTTGAAAAATATCAGCCTCCACTCGGCACAGCATCTCCACTTCCCCTCCATTACTACTGAGATTCCAAAATCAGCAAGCAAATTAACACAGGAATTAAAAACAAAAATCTTTTAACTCTCTCTCGCTCTCTTTTGGGGGGTGAGAGTGTGTGTGTATGTGTTTACCCCCCTGCACCACCTCCTCCCCCTTTTAGCCCTATCGAGTTTATACACGAAAGTAAAAAAATCTAAAGAAGCAAGAGCCCTATAGAGGACACTGATCCGACCCAAGGTACAGCGGCCAAAAGAATGGTGCAATATAACCACATGGGAAATCATAAAAAGTTCATGTTCACGGTTAGCAGTCCACATGACCGGCTCTGGCCAATCCCAGAACCCAGCCACTCATAAAGTTCTATCACAAAGTTGTAAATTTTCATAAAACAACAAGGAATTTATTGCATTTCTTCATGACTGCTTTAACAGCCGTCTTTTCCTTAGCCGCCATCTTTATTTTTTAAACAAAAATAAAAGAATATGCAAAGATCTTTTTTTTTCTCCTGGTGGGGGTTTTAATGGAGGTGTCTCAATCACACCTTACCTATAAGGCTAAAAAAAGATTTTTAAAGGATAAGCGATGTTAAAGCAGTGCGTTTTATGTTCACATTCTTTAGCTGTGTAATTATGAATCCTTCTGCTAAAATAGAAGATTAGCCATTGCGGGCGTCGGAGAATTTAGAAATAGATCAAGATAAATATATTGAAAGAGAAATGCTGGCTGTATTTATAGCATAATCTAAACCTATGTATTTATGTTTCACTACGTATTTAGGATCAAACACACCCCACACTCAGAACATTTATTGGCAACCCTGACACTAGGTAATTTTTG